GGGGGGGGCCGGGATGGCAGAGGAGGGAACTGTGAACTGGGAGAGTGGATGGAGCTGAGCTCAACCTCTATGGTCCTTGCCTGCTCTCCTAAAACCGGACACACTTCAATTGTGGTGTTGTTGTGGTGATCCGGTAGTGGCATCGAGAAGGACGCGGCCGGTCTGTACGTCCACGAGTGGTCTTGTGTCACCCAGTTTTTCCATGTCAGCCTTCCGTCAGGCTGCACTTCCACCATTTTGTGATCGGGATCGATCCATTTTGCCGCAAAGGCCGCTATCAATTGTTGTCTATTGCCATGGTCGGGGGTTCCATCCACTTTTTCTTTTAAAGTTTTGCTGGCTTTCAACGTGTTTGACCTTATCACCTCCAGAAGCTCTGTCTTTGCCTGGTGAAGACCGAATGCCTTTTCTCGACGCTGTACCGAGCACCTCATCCTCCAGATAACCATAAGTATGGCGAGTCTCATGTATTTAAAGAGATTTTGCTGGAAGGGTGTCCAGGTGGAGGGGAAGCTGRTCTTTTTGCCCAGTAAGATGAGGGYGATATTCCATGGGAACGAAACACCTGTGAGCTCGCACCACAACGCGTYCCACCATTGCCAAACCTGCACTGCCATTGGAYACGCCAGCAGGCAGTGCTCCAAGTCTGCTCGTCTGCGTTGTGCGCCGTCACCACAGTGGGAGCATATGGGGGATAGGACTCCTGTCTGTTCAAGGTTAGTGCGTGAGGTTATCCAGTCCGGTGTCGGGAGGCAGCGGTGAATAATCTGCCACTGCAGCGCCCTGTATGTTGTTGGCATTATATGAGCATATGTAGTCCAGGGGATGTGGAGCAGTTCCCCCTCTTGCAGTGGAGAGTCCCGTCTCCATCGCGCCTGGACGACCGGAGTGGAGGCATGAGACTTGTGCACCTGTTTGTAACCCTGTCTCTTATACACATCTAGATGTGTATAAGAGACAGGAGTGGAGGCATGAGACTTGTGCACCTGTTTGTAACCCCCGCGTACGGAATATTGCCAGACCGGGATAGGTTTCCGGCCTTTCCATGCCCACTCATCCGGGTCAAACGCTAGTGCTTCCACCGGGGTAGACATTTCATAGGCAAAKTAGCCATTGTCRTCGTCYCCCACCACTCGTATCCTAGTTAGCTCTCCCARGGGACACACTCCGTCTAGCTCRGGAGCCCTTTTCAATGAGGCCCAKCGTGCCCCTGGGACATCCGGTTCATATGCGTGGAGGTGTGCTTCTTGACCTATGCAGCRGAYCACCCTGAAGATGGACATGGGGATAGGGTTCCGRGAAGTCWTTATCACCCAATCCAGGCTGCAGACCGTAGGGCCCTCCCGCAGGGTGGCAAGCCATGAAGTCGGGACTGCCCTATGAATGRGGTYCARCTTGTYSTGTYGATTTCTGATGTGTCTCAGGTTAGGCTGCAGCTGCTGTGCCGACTTCCATGCACCATTYTGGGCATCCCAGAGGTCCCCGATGCTAAATAGGCCGTTCCTTACCCACGCCAACCAATGGGAGTTGGCCGCCAGGGAGAGTGGCGAGCCTGTTTCGTCACATTTATCGGGGTTGCCGAAGAGTGGCTGTCGCCATATCTCTTGCCACCTCAACGGGGGGTGCTTCTTGGTCGGGCCCATCTCCCTCCACAAGTGTAGTATCCCAGTCCACAGCGGGTCATGTTTAAGGTCCCGTCTCACACTGTTGCGAGGTGTGCCATCATTCTTACGCCGCGGGGGGTCGGGCATGCACCAGGCTTTGTTTGTTAGCCATTGGAGGGGGTGGACTGGGGCGTCTGGGTGAGAGGGTGGGGCCAGATTATCAAGCTGTATGAATGCTAGAGGCAGCCACGGGACATCGTTTGCGAGCAATAGACGGATGATCACTTTGAAAATGAGGGCCTTGATTTCGTCCCCGGGATCCAGGATGCCCAACCCCCGAATTCTCTTCGGTTGGGTTACGTATTTCCAGGCCACTCTCTTTAGACATTTCGTCAGCTTGTGGTCGTTTCTCCACATGTATGCTGACAGCACTGCTTGGAGATGCGTCAGGTGTTTTTTTGGTATGTCCCAATAGGCCGTTTTGTACCAGATAGAGGATAAAATAGCGTCATTTATGGCCAGGGCTCTCCCCACCAGCGATGTGTAGAGGCGTCCCACTTAGCCAGTCTTTGGATTGCCGTCTGAACAAGTGTCTGGCCGTGGTCTATCGGAGGGCCCAAAGCTGTTAGGCGGATCCCAAGGATTTTGATTGCTTCTTCCCTTGGTCGCCAGTTTACCGGTGGCTGCTGTAGCGGCTGAGAATTCTGCGGGGCCAGCCAACATCCTTCCGTCTTTGTCCCCCAGTTAACCTTCATATCCGCAGCCACTGCAAATGTTTGAATAGTATCCGTTAGTGCTTGAAGAGATGCAGCGGAGGCCTTGATGAGGACCGTGAGGTCGTCAGCAAATAGGGATGTCACAGGCACCATATGGGGAGGCAAACCGGGTATGTCAATACGTTCTATGGCCGGGTTATTCCTGATCATTGCCGCCAGAGCCTCCATGACCAGGACGAAGAGAAGGGGGGCAATCGGGTCCCCCTGCCTGACTGATCTCTGCAGTGGGAACGGGGGGGAGAGGTGTCCATTTACCATGATGTTGGTGGCCGTAGTCTTATGCATAATGGAGACCCACCTTCTGAAACAGTCCCCAAAGTTCATTTTGTGCAGGCAACAGTCCAGAAAGTCCCAGTCCACATGGTCATATGCTTTTTCGAAGTCAATAAACAGGACAGCGGCTTCCTTGCGGTGTTGTCTAGCGTACTTTATAGTCTCGTTCACTAGGAGGACATTGTCCTGTATGTTTCTTTGCGGCATAAACCCAGTTTGATCTTGAAAGATGAGATGATTTATGTGCGGTAGCAGCCGATTAGTGAGGGCTTTGGAAACCATCTTGTATGGGAGGGGGAGGAGGGTGATTGGACGGTAGTTCCGAATATCTTCTTTTTCACCCTTCTTATACAGCAACGTGGTCACTCCTTGACTGATTAGGCCCCCAAAGGTTCCTTCTTTCTGAAYTGCACTGACATAGATCCCAATGCCCCCTTGAAAGATATGCCAGTAATGGAGCCAGAATTCCTTGGGAAAAGAATCCAACCCCGGGGTCTTTTCATCCTCCATTCCTTTMAGGGCTTCTAGCAGCTCGTCCATGGTTAGTGGAAGATCGAGYTGTTGTCTTTGGTTTGAGGACAGCATCGCCGAGAGGTGTTGGAGCATCGTGTCTCTTGCGACAGCCACTTGCTGGGGTCCCCATCTGGCCGATTCGGAGGTAYATAACTTTTGATAAAACTGGGCAGCGTAGTCCACAATGGTATATGCATTAGTGGCTTTTGGCAAAGTGCGRTCAAAGGGATGGCCGAGTGAGGGCACCGATGCTTGCCTTGCTCTTGCTTTAGCCTTACGGAAAAATGTCTTCGCCATTGTCCCATCCGTGTCCTGTTTTCTTATTTGTGCTTGAATGCGCCACGATTCAGCCTGGGCTTCAAGATAGGATTGCAGATGGTCTCTTGCTGCCTGCAGTTTGTTGTATGCCTGATCGTCTAGAGGTTGAGTTTGTAGTTCATTGTCCCAATCTTCCAATTCTTTTAGCAGTTTGTCCAGTGTGGCCTTGCGTTCACGCGCATGGGAGATAGAAAACTTCTTGATTCTGTCTCTCAGCTGTGCGACACCTTCATTGAACTAGTTTATTTTGGAGGTTGCTCCCTCTTGAGTAGACATCCAGTGTTCCCAAAATTATTGGACCAGGGCCTTAAGGGCAGAGAGCTTGAGCAATGAAGTGTTGAATTTATAAAAACTTGGTCCTTTCTCGATTTGAGGTGAAAAGAACAGTCCCATTACTATGGCCCTATGATCAAAGGACTTGCTGGCACTGAATGGTAGGATGTCTGTCACCGTTAAGGCCCCTGTCAATTTGTCAGAAATGAGAAAGAGATCAATTCTAGAGTTAGCTCTGTCGGCCGTTCCCTTGGATCGGACGCAAGTATATGCACGTTTAGAGGGGTGCAGAATCCTGTAGGCGTCTTTCAGCTGAAAAGCAGCCATGAATTGAGATAGCGCGTCCGCATCCGGGGACCACCAGTCACGAATTTGGTTTTGGCTTTGACCAGCGGTGGAAGTCCTTCTATCCAACTGCGGGTCTGGGGCAATGTTGAAGTCACCCGCCACTATGAGTGGCAAATCCGTGGGGAGATCTTGAGATAATTGGTGGAGGAAATGCACCCTGTCCCATGGGTCATTTGGGCCGTATATACTGACAATACCTATCTCTTCGTCCCCCAGTGTCGCGCGCAATAACACCCAACGTCCGTCCCACTGGTCACATTCATGAGCTATGGGAGTGAGCCTTGACGATGGCGGGAGCCATATTGCCACCCCCGTAGATGCCCCGAAAATGGCCGGAGCTGAAAAGGATGTATAGGGCCACACCCATTTTCCTTTAGCCACATGCACAGGAGAATGCGTTAAGTGGGTTTCTTGTACACAAATCACGTCTGGCCATGTCCCCGTCCCTTCCGTCTTTAACATCTTCCAAATTGCATCTTTTTTCTCCACTGATGCCTGTGCTAATCCATTTAGGTTTATTGCTCTAATGTCCAAGTACACGTTGGCGATCTTTCTCACCCACTCCGGGGGACGTCTCCCCGGGGGTAGGACATGTGGTTGGGGGGGGGGCGCGGGGAGGTGTTGGAGGAGGAGGGTGATATGTCGCACAATCCATTTCCATGTTTTGTGTTATCCGGCCCCCAGGGTGTACTTCCTTATCACCATTTACGCAGCTAGCAGATCCGCATCTTCTGATTCCGATTCCGATTCGGCACTGTCCTCGGATTGGTTGTGCTGCTGTTTATTGTCCTTGTCCTTGTCTGTAAGCAAATCTATCACATGAGCTGCGACGGGTGACAGTTCGGTCACCCTGAGTGGACTAGCGTTGGAAGGAGCGAGCAAATGTGGAGGTATCCGCTGTATGATGGGTGGCTGGGACTGGACCATCTGACCCTCGTGACTGCTGCGCCGGAGGGCAGCCCCGATGTGCTGGACCAACTTATCCGGCCAGAATTGGTTATCATTTGCGCACCCCTCCTTTTCTACCATTTCCTTGTGGACTGTCGTGATCTGTGTAGAGGGAGCGCTGCCATCCATCCTGACATTAAGCTCCTCCAATAGTGAGGTGACGATTAGGATGATCGCTTTGGCCACCTGTCCCCAGTCGATCTCTGCGCTCGTCCGGTACTGGTTGACTACTTGTTTGATCCGGTGCTTTGTTATAATCTTTCTCCTGATTCGTTCCCATTGCAGCGGGGGGATAAATTCAGTGAGGGATCTACCTGTCGGAACGAGGGAGTTCTGCATTATCCAGTCCGTGAGACGCTTGAGGTGTGTACGCACTGCCTTTACATAGATCAGGGACTCACGTTCCTCGTGTATGCCGGCCTCTCCGTCTGCGGGGGCCTGTTCCATGACTGAGTCCATCGCTGGATGGAGTCCTTCTGGTAGGTGCTTCTGAGTAGCTTGCCCCTCTTGTCCCATGACGAGGTCCAGACCCGGGTGGGTACCGTCGGGAGGGTACAGACTGACTGTCGACCCTGCCACCCCAGCTTGCATGGTTTGTTGGAGGCCTACCCCATGGGCGAAATACCCTTGCGTATAGGCTTGCCAAAACTGGGCCTCCAGCATCGTCTGCTGATGATGCTGAGATGCTAGATGGCCCAGAGCCTCGCTGTGTTTTTGGGTATGGTGTTGGGCTTCGATCAACTGCTGTATGAGTTGGTTGTGCCTCAACTTTTCCTGTTGGTCCAGTATGTCCTGGGTCTGCTGCGTGGCGAGGAGGTGGAACAGAGCTTGCTGTTCTCTTGTCAGGGCTGCTTGCTGGGACGCGTACATATGGTCTTGGTCCGCCTCTTCCGCATCTGTCATAAGTGCTTCCGATATGGGGTCGCAGTCCGACTCCAGGTCCGAATCGGAAGAAACGTCGTGAATGGGGGTGTCCATCTGTGGGCAGCGCATACGGCGAGCACGGCCTTGTGCTATTGCCTCTTGCAGCTCAGCTTCGGCTTGCTCCTGTTCCTCGAGCAGCCGCGTGCGATACACTTCTGTTCGAGTGGCCACCTGTGATGGGTGTGGCCCTGTTCCGGTGGCTAGCTGTGCCGTGGGTGCGGCCTCCGGGTTGTCCGGGGGCTGCTGCCTGCTGTAATCATTGCTTGTGTCGGAACTTTCTAACAGGGGGCCTGGTTCCTGCACGTACCCCTGTTCCCCATGACCAGTCTCTTCCCTCGCTTTGTCTCCTGCCGGAACGGCGGCCCGTGGGCCTGGCGGGTCCTCTGCTTTTGGATTTGAGCACTGTTCCTGTTCCCTTACGGCAGGTGGGGAGCTTTGCAATAATGCTCGGGCTAGCATTCCTTGGCGGGCCCCGCTGGACAGCGGGTGATTTTTGGCAGGCAGTATATTCTTTAGCCCCTGGGCTATATTGTGCAAGTAGTCAAAACGCAGGAGTTTGTTTATTCCTCTCCGCTGTCCCTGATTGTATTTGTTGGGATTTTAGCCGGGGCGAGAGGTTTGACTGTTCGATTCCTCAATTGGATAGCTGGGGTGGGTGGGCCTTCCACCGGGGTTGGGCAGTCCAGGACCGGGGGCGCAGAGGATGTCGGTTTAGCTATGCTATTGGTGGACTGGCCTACCACGAGTGTTCCTGTCGTGGCAGTAATGAGTCGAGACCGGTCCCCTCCCATCCCTGCCGTACCTGTTGTGGACTCCGCTGCTACGTTCCCATTTGGTGACACTTGGCAGGCCTCTGACTTGCTTTTGAATACCAGAGTTGACCGTGACTGACCTCCTTCAAGGCCTGGCGTCGGTGTTGCGGAGGCCTCAGACCCAGTCCCTGCCAGCAGCGCATGGCCAGGCAGATCAGAATGAGCGCCCGTGGCATTCTGTAGCGCAGTTTGCTGTGTTTCAATCCGGTCCTTGCCTTCGACCGGTTGAGGGGGTAATGGTCGTCCATGCATCCCTATACACTCCCCCACCTGTCCGTCCACCCCAGGAAGCAGCTCGCACCTTTGTTCCGGGTCAGTCTGGGGGGGTGCTTTTTGCGGAAGGGTCATATTATGCCCAGCCTGTGCTGTTTTGGGGGTGTGAGGGGAAGGCAATCCTTCCTGTCCAACCACAGTGCCTAGGTGCGTGGTTGTGGTCACACAGGGGGCGAGTGAGTGGGACTGTTGCTCCTGTCTTTGTTGCCGGTCTGTGTGGGTCCGGCCCGCACATTCAGGGGCGTGAGGGGGTAATGGCCGTCCATACGTCTGTATACATGCTTCCATCTGTCCTCCCACCCCAGGAAGCAGCGCACACTGTTGTTCCGGGTCAGTGTGGGGGGATGCCTTTTGTGGGGGGGTCTCCCTGTCCCTCGCCTGTGCGGTTTTGTGAGTGTGAGGGGAAAGCAACCCTTCCTGTCCGTCCTTTGTACCCGGACGCACCGTTGTGGTCCCACAGGGGATGAGTGAGTGAGGCTGTAGCTCCTGCCTTTGGAGCAGGCCTGTGTGGGGGGGTACCTTGTCCGTATCCTGCATACTTCCTTGTATGTCAGGGGAGTGCAACCCGCTTTGTCCATCACACATACCTTGTTGCTTTGTTAAGGAGTCGGAAAGGCCGAGTGAGCAGTTTACAGATTCATTATCGATTTGTGGTAAGGGCCAGCCTCCCACAGCCAGACCCACCACAATGGCCTCCGATGCCACCACGTCCACATCCTCAGTCTGCGTGTGCGATTGTCTTGCGGTCTTATCTTTGAGGGGTCGGAGATGATTATTGTTGCTGTTCCGGTCTCTCCACGGTTTACAGGCTTTCATTTTCATCTTTTTGGTTGTGGCCTGTGTCGCCTGCTTTCCGTGCGCCCGGACTGATGTATCCAGGCTTCGTCTGAGATCTCCCAGCGCTTCGTGCTGCTGCGCAGGGGATTTGGGTGGGTCTGGCGGGTCCCTCATTTCCTCAGGCGGGGGGGGGATTTTTGTCGCTGCCAGGCCTACTACTATAGTGTCCTGGTTTTCCTCCTGCGGGGGATTTGGCAGTGTCTCTTTGTCCTCGGGCGGAGGGGAGATTTCAGTCACCACGGAGCCTATGACCGTGACTACAGTTTCCATTTCGGTTGACTGCACCACGGATAGCGGTGCTACCGGCTCCTCAGGAGGGTCGATCCCCGCTGTTCCTGGTCCCTTTCCTGTTACCTCGCCAGCGGACTGCACAGGATTTTTTGGTTCTGCTCCCGCCGAAGTTTCTTTGTCCTCAGGTGAGCAGACGGCCCCTGCTGCAGACAGGCCCCCCTCTATGAGTGCAGGTTCCAGACACGGTTTCGCTCTTGTTGCCTCTGCGTTCTCCTCTGTCTGGCCAAGCAAGTTGGGCGAATCAGAGGCTACGGGCTTGCCTGGCTGCTTTCGCCTTTTCCTCAGCAGGGGAGGATCCACAGGTTCATCGTTATCGTCTTCCTCTGCTCCATGCACCTTACTACCGGGTTGTGTCACCTGGGGCTGGTGGTGGGGGGAGCGGGCATCTCGCTCCTCCTGTTGGTTCCCTTGAGGAGGTTTATTTGAAGCAGCATTTCCACCGGGGTGTTCACACCGAATAGCTACCACATGGGCCGACGTAAGTGATGTCTGCTGTGGTTTGCCTTTTCCTTTCCATACCCAATATCCCAGTTTGGCCGGGTCTTGGCAAACAAACACCCACCCCAGCAGCGTGTGGTCAACCGGCAGCCACGACTGCTCGTGTTGGGGGTGAGGGGTGACAATACCTCTGAGTGGTTTCTTCCTTGATTTGGGGCATTGGGTATCAGTACAAAGATGGCCCTTTTCTTTACATGCATAGCACCACGGATTCTGGGTATGGCTAACCGGGACCGAGACAGTTCTCCCAGCGTAAATATAATCCCATGAATCTTTGATAGGAAAAGGCCGTACCACGTCCCAGTCCACTGCCACCAACAATGTATCATCCCTTTTTTCAAGGAATGATGGAAGTTCGTTGACAAACCCTGTAACCGGCGCGATCGACTGCAGGGTTTGGATTATGGCTCCTTGAATTGCCAGCGGGGCGAATCGAAATTCCACCCAAAAGTTGGTCTCCATCACTTGCTGTCTGCGTTCGTCCGCTGTAAGGGGCTCGCCTGGTTGCCACCTTTGCACACGTACTGGCTGGCCTCGAAATCTGAGGTTTTTCAGGCCTATTAGGTGAGCATGATCTCCAGGATACAAGGCCAGAACAGTGATTGTGGACATCCCTGCTGACTCGATCAGGAAGTGGTCTGCCACATCTTGTCCTGAGAACTTGAAGGATTCTATTATGGCAGATACCCATTTGATCTTATCGTTCATGGGAGTGGTCGCCTGCTGTTCCTGAAAGTGGAAGTGGACAGCATGGGATGAATAGACTCTGTTCCTTATTGCCACCTCTTGGGGGGGAAACCTATACAGCGGTCGTACGTAGCCATCGCTTTCCTGATACTTCTCTGGCTGTGCATACAGCTTTTGAATGAAGTGACTGCGGGTGGGGTGGATGGGACTGAGAGACAGCAGCTCCGAACTAGACCTCTGGGACCCCGGGGTCAGAAGTGATATAAGGGACGGGGCAGACCGAGGGTTGATTGAATCGACCTTTTGCCAGGTCCGTGACTGGGGAACCGGTTGTTTAAGAATGGATACCCAGGAGGGGTTGGTCGACAGAGCAGAACCCACCTGTATCTGCGTCTGTGGGTGAAGGTTTGCCGGTCGTAGCTGGTCCCGGGGGCCCAGTGGCGTCGCTGTCGCCGAGGGCGTGGGCAGTGGTGTGCCCGTCTGAAGCTTCGTTGCTATCCCCCCTTTCCCCTGGCAGAGTGCACCTACCTTTCTGCCTTCTCCACCTACCTGTGCAGCCGTTCCGGTCTGACGCCATGGGGTGGCCGCACCCGTGGGATGAGTCTGTGGTGGTTCATTGCGTCCGACCCGCTTCCATTGATGTGTTGTTACTCGTCTGTCGAAGGGGAACCCCCTCCCCTGTGCCCCTCTTTTTCCCATTAGAGCCACCTTCTTTGTAGTCAGTCCTGCACGATGATTTCTTCGATCGAGCCCCGAGTGTGTTTGCAGTGCACCCTCGGTTTTGTGCCAGCCAAATTGTTGTTGTTATTGTGTTGTTTGTTGTGATTGATTTTTTCTTATTTACGATTGTGCCAATTCCACAACAGTATTCAGTCCTCCACGATGATTTCCCGATCGAGCCCCGAGTGTGTTTGCAGTGCGCCCTCGGGTTTGTGCCAGCCAAATTGTTGTTGTTTTTGTATTGTTTGTTGTGATTGGTTTTTCCTATTTACGATTGTGCAAATTCCACAGCAGGGTGCACCGCCGTCTGTGTATTGACGCCGTATCCGTTAATTTTCACTTCCGGACTTGAGTATCCGGATCAGGGTGCTCCAAAATTATGTGCCTGTGTGTATGTACTGCATCCGCGGAGTTCTGCCAGCAGCTGCAAGGGCATGTGTAGATGTGTAGAGTCACGCGAAATAAATGGCAATATGTGCTTTCGACAGTGCATCAGTGGGATATTCGTCTATCCGCACATCAGGATTATGTATTGTAAGACAGGACATCCGGTATCTGGATACTGTGGGTCAGGGCATCAGATATCTGGACCGCTAGGTGTGGTGTGTAGCATGCATGTAGATAGAGAGGTTGAGATTAAAGGCGGGGGTTAGGGATTTTAGGGGCGTGCATGCAGATGGGGTTATTGAGATTAGGGACTGGGGCTAGGGGGTTTTTTGGGGAAGTCACTGCAGCGGGCGAGAGGTCAGGGGAGAGTATCAGTCACACAAGCTCACCGGGGGAGGGGAACAGGGGATCCTCCTCCCTTTTGCTCCAGTCTTCGACAACGGCCGCTCGGCTTGCGAGAACCAGCTCTCTGCTCTTGTGAATGACCTGTTGAAGCAATCTTTTCAGTTAAAGGCTCAGCGTAGCTTCTCTCACCTCCTCTGTCCCACTCCGAGCATGACCTCTCCTTCCGTTAACCGTGCACTCCCACCTTCATGCACTTTGTTTTCGTCTCTTCATCGTCAGCGGTTCAACCCCTTCATTTCGCCCTATTTTCGTCGTGTCTTCGCATCCGCCACGTATCCGTCGCACAGGCTTACCAGGGGAGGGGAACAGGGGATCCTCCTCCTTTTTGCTTCGGTTTTCGACGACAGCCGTTCGGTTTGCGACTAGTCCCGATACCCTGCTCTCCACTCTTCTGTACGATCCTTTAGAGCAATCTTCTCTGTGGAAGGTTCTTCGTATGTTCTCTCCCCTCCTCCGACCCACTCCGGGCTTGTCCTCACCTTCCGATGACCGTACACTCCCACCTTCATGCACATCGCTTTGCTCATTACACCATCACGGCGCACCCCCTTCATTTCACCCTATT